GTGTGTACCATCTGCAACATGCACTGCAGTTATTCAGCAAGGTTCTTTCAACAGCGGGCTTTCCAAATCCGTCACCTCAACAAGGACAGTAAATTTGCGGGAAGACTGACACCTGCAAGTTCCTCTCCAAATCATATCTGATCCTAAGTTGTTTCTTCATTGTCACTGGATTAAAATCTTTGAAATGCCTTTCTAACAACACTGTGGATAACCTTTCAGTGGTTCAAGAAGGCAGCTCACCACGACCTTCTCCGGAGCATTTAAAATGGGTAATAAATGCTGGCCTAACCAGCAACGCCCATATCCTATGAAATGTAAAATGTTTTCTAATCGGCCTATAGTGTGGGCTCACGTCTTGAGGTATAACCTGAAGCGATAGCTTCGCAGAGACTATAATGCTACCAAGTTCTCATATTCATTTTTTTAAAAAATTCGAAGTCTCTCGACATCGTTTGTGCAGAGTCTTCAAACGTTTAGTTACAATTGGATCATGTGGAGTCTCCTGGGTATTTCTTAAGTTATGGAGGAACAGCTATTCAACTGCATGAACATCACAAGGGTGTGGAACTCTTCCACATAATCAAAACAGTGTCTTGAGTAGACCCTCCGAATGTTTCACACTGTGAATTCTTGACGGAAGTGTGAAACTACGCATTTTTTTCCAAACACAAAAATATTTGTTGCATACAATTAATGAAAAATACTTAGTCGTGCCTCTCGCAACTGGGCTTTTGAAAAGCATTACATTTCCTTAGCTTTTCAGGGAAGTTTGAAGCGTCATTGTTTTGTTAAATGATTGCACGATCTAACAATAGCGACGAGCAAATAGGCAACGAAGATACTGGCAGAGATTTTGAGAATGAAACACACAAGCATTTAGATATCAAACGCGTTCAATGAATGAGCGACAGCATTTAAGGAGAGAAAACATTACCAATCTGACTTTTTAATATCCAGTTTACAGTTTCATGCGAAAATCAATCACGTAAATTCCCATAGTGCAGGTGTCTGTGTTATGGTTATCTGAACAAAAGTGTGTATTCTTTCGTATTTTTCCCATTTAATGAAGACAACACTATATTACATAAGGGCAACGAGTCAAAAATAATCACATTACCAATAGGAATAATATTGTCTTTGTTTCTTTAAAAGACATTTGGAGTAACAAATCATTTTAATAGATGAGTTAAGTTTCGTCCAAAAGCCATAATATCTTAACAAGATCACGGATTTCCAAAATAGCATTGTCACCCCTTCAAAAACCATGTCCTTTGTGTTCATGAAGGTTACAATGTTTTAAAAGATGCTATTGTGTCCTCCGTAAACCATAAAATTGTCACCGGGGACTGATTAAAAAGTTCTGAATTGAAACACTGCGGAATTTGTCTGCATCCTATTCAGACCTGACAATGCCCCTTTCAGCTTAGTATACAAAAAGGGTTTAATGGTGGTTCTGTTGGAGATTCTCCAAGGCTAGCTGCATCCATATGGAATACACGGAGGACATCAGCTGGGACAAAGAACCCAGGTGACAGCGCCAGCCCCTATCTTTGCCGAGCAGGCAGCAAAGACAACACAGGGTTGAGATTCTCTGCGAGGTTCATCAAAATGCACGCCTCCTACATTTCACTTTCTCATGGCGACAACTTTCCCTTTTACTGCTCCTTAGTAGTAATTGTGCCAATATAAACTGCTTAACTTCCTGATACATCCCCAGTGAGATCCAAGCGCTGCCTTGATTCCGGGCGAGATATGATGACAATGGGTCATTTTGCATCATCTTGCTATGGTTGTTGCAGTAACCTTCGCTCAGTTTGTTTCCTTAGACACGAGTTAAACATCGAAATTATTGATGTTTGCAAAACAATTTGATAGTACAACGACACAATGCAATCAGTTATTCAGTTTTACTTCTCATGGCATGATCTTTTCCATAGATCGTTTACAGGTATAATGCAGCGATAACAGTAAAGTTTCCTCGTACGGAAACACGGACATTTTAGATGGGGGTGGGGGGGGGGGGGTGGTAGGGGAGGAAGGCGGTTGAAACAATTCACAACGTTTAGCCTAGGAGCACTCTTACCTGAAGTATTCTTTGGTCCAGTTAAATGCAAAGTGGCTGTACGTCTCGGGAAAACAGAATAAATATATAGGTGCCCAAAATTGTTTAAATTATCTTCAGAATGTAATGAGCCACAGTAGTGAGCGCGTTCCCCGTTACCCCCACCCCCGCCCCACCTGATTATTGGCATTTTAACATTCACGCTATCACATACTGTTGCTTACTCCAATATATCTCTAAGATCATCCCGATTTCCTGGTTGGATATGTAACATTGAGCTAAACGTTTTTCCAAGCTTCAAATGGGCTCTTCAGTAAACACACTTGAAACCTGACGGTTACAGAAGGCAAACCAGTTTATTTTCCAGGATGCCCTGGTGGGAATATTCTTTTTGGAGACTTTTTAAGTGTTTAAAACTTCCAATATAAATCTCTGACCATTTCTCAGTCTCGCGTTAGCAGCAGTTTTTGGGATTTCTGAAACTATAGAGAGAAAGAATTATGACTTGAGAGAAGCAACGTTCGTAATATGGTGTTAGAACGTACGGGACTCATCTACTTTACTGGTCAGCTATCATTCTAAATACCATGCCATTGCATTACAATGAAAGTACAAGATACAAAACAATTCGACATTGTTTCACTTTCTTCCTTTACTTATATGTATCAACCTTCGAGAACCTAACAAAAGTCACCTTTGATATTGTACTCTGGTGTTCTGACGAAGACTGTGCATCGATTTCCTCCTGGGTTAGGCTAATTGAAACGGATACATCATGACGAAATTCACCTCAGTCTATATCTGCCGCGTCAACTGATGTTTCGGAATGCTTTTTAAATTACACAATGACCAATACAATGACCTATTTTGAACTATTGTAACACTATTTCGCATTATTCCTTAATTTATCTTAAACTAAATTTATTGGAATTCAATGACATTTCTCAAAAGTGAGCGAAATTTACCTTGTGTTATTAATACTATGGATAGACGTTCACAAATCACTGAACAGAACAGAAAAACTACATTTGTAATGATGGTTCGTTTGTTACATGTTTATTCACTTCTATTCTACGGATCAATGATATTTAATGAGCGTTGTTGGCAAATTGTAGAACTTTTTGTCATCATGACAATTCATGCAAACAAGTTCATCAAATCCCGTTACAAAGTTCTTTGTTAAAATCTAACAAGGAGTGAAGAGATTTAAATGTATCCTCTGTTAGTGATTAAATAGAAAGGGAGAGAGGATTCTAGAAAATACGCGCACATCTTTATCCAGCGTGTCTTTGGCGTAAGATTCCGTCTGTTGGTGGCGCAAAACTAAATTTCAAACATGTTTATGAAGAACGGGTTTATGATTTATTTCAACAAAACATCTCAGGGAATATCTCTCCTTTTGTGCTTCTAAAGTCTTTGAAAATTTTCTTAAAACGATAGCATTTAAATAATGAGAAGTTCAGGAATAAATTAGGCTGGCATTATTTTTAAATTTATATGTCTGTTGCCAGTAAATTAACCGATATTACTGCCTCTTCAGAAACATATTTTTTTTTAATCTCAGGTAATTTAGCAGTTATGCAGAAGTACATTGTTTTCTCATGGTAAAGTATGTGGTTTCATGTGTTGAAATTATGAATATGTTATTTAGTAATATTTCTTAAGAATGTGCGATCTATAGTAAGAATTGGGTACAGAACATCCTCGCCGGCAATTATACAGACCTACTTCACTGTAACCAGCATTTAAGAAAAAGAATGAAGTTGATATTGAGCAATGTTAATTGCCTTTTTTTCACTACATAGCATGGATGTATTTTAAATAATGCATTTATATTTAAACCCAAATTCTCCTCAGCAGAATAAGTAATACGAAGGGCTAAATCTGTTTAAGCTCAGAAAAGAACTTGCTTGTTCTCCTTTCAAAAAAGTAGAGATAACTGATGTATAATCCAAGTATTTAACCTATGTATGAAAGTTCGGAGATTACATTTCCATTGCCAATGTAACGCGTTGGTATGCATGGCACCTCCCTCACCCCGTAGAATTGTTTGTGCAATCTTGATTTAAAGGGAAAAGTTAACTTTAACATATAATTCAATAAAAATCACTAAGAAAGAATTGTCTTCAGTTCCAGGTGGAGCATCTGTAGGACAACTGTTACACAACATTTTTAAAAATGAATTTCATTCTGTAGAAGAAAATTTAGTTCGAACACTTTATCTCACAAGACTTGCCTAATGAATGCGTTCAAATCGCCCAATACGAAAATAATAGTCAAGTTTAACATTAATCGGAAGTGTTCGGGTCAAATCTCAAAAATAATATTTCGCATTAGTTTCCAATATATGACGTGGTGTAAGAAATCCACTCATGCACTTTATCAGAGCGAAGAAGTAAATGGTTCTTGAAAAAGCAGAAATATCAGCGTTGTCATTTATGAGGAACTAATTTGTAAAATGGCAATGACTGTGATAACTAATATTTTCAAAATAAGGTTTTGTTTTATGAAGGATCCATTTGCATCATTTTTTCCAGACACAATATATAGCAAAACAATTGGTGACTAAGTGTCATTTTTATTTTCTCAAGCAGGAAATTACAACGTATAAAGCACGAGAAACTGCTTTGTTGGCATTTTCTATGCTTGAAGAGGAATAGTTTAGATGTATTAGACTATCTCACATCCATGAATTTATGAACCAGGTATATTGCTTTTGGACGACGAGTTATGTACGATAGGAAGACGTCGGTTACATTCCAAAAGTGGTCAAAAGAAAAATCTAGAAAAGGACCTTGAAATGCTTTCGTGCAGAAAATACCAAAAAAAACGACTACAACGGAAAATTCGACCATTCGCAAACTCACTGAACTATGTAAGCAATTATTTATACATGGCGTAACAACAGGAATTATTTTGAGTTTAGAGTGTCCATGATTCACCAGCTCCACTGTTGCCTCCGTATTCCAGGATGTGTTAAATGATGATAGCTGGGGAAGACGCCAAACGGTCCAGTGTGCTGTACCTGTTGAAAACCATGAACTGTGAAAGCGGTGTAGGAATGATTAGGCTGAACAGTGTCGGCGGGCTTCTCCTGGATATGTACGGAGGTAATGGAACAAGAATGACAAGGCTTGCCATCTCTGACCAGCACTGGCACTGCCACTCTGCGAACCAGTTGCGGCTGGTTCATATCTATCTGCAGGGTGCCATCTACACGGGCTCTCTTCAATTTATACCTGTGGTTTTGAAACCAGATCTTCACCTGAGTTGGGGTAAGGCTCAAAAGGTGAGCGAAGTGTTCGCGTTCAGGGGCAGATAGGTAACGCTGTTGTTGGAATCTTCGTTCTAACTCAAATGTTTGTGCTTTGGAGAACAGAACTCGTCGTTTCTTCTTCTTCTCATTCTTCATGATGGACGAACAGCCTTTTCTTGGATGACAATCGGCGGGAGTTGTATCCGTGCTGCTTTCATCAGAGGCTACAATGAAACATTTTCCAGTTAAAATTTCTTGCGATACTTTATCAGAGGCCAAGGTACTAAATTCGCACTTGTAAAACGAAATTTGAATGGGTATACTTACAAATCTTGTCAGAACCAAGCCACCCCGAAAATGATAGTTTCGAATACTCATGGCGTGAGTTTTGGCCTGCTTCTTTCTTAATGACAGCAGATTGTATCGCTTTGCCACTTCCTTGATCCCAGTGATCTAGACGGTCAATTTCATGTTGATCGGGTAAATTCAGAATACTGCGCACAGTGAAACTGGCCCTGGTTAGCGACATGTTGACAAATTATCAGCGTTCACCGAATTTTTGAGAAATAAACTACTTGCAGGTTAAAGCCCTCCCTGTGAATAGGAGGTACGGTTATATCTCGCTGCTTAATGGTGCAGCAGTAGAGAGTCTTTTACAGGGAACGTCCTGTGTTTATATAAACAGTCCTCTTCAACGCAATAGTGGCAACCTTCAGATGATGTCTGACCACAGGATACCAAGTACCTGCATCAGTCAAGTGCCAAAGCATTAATGTGAGTAAGTGTAACCTTACCAGAGAATTACCCGGCACTTCCCGAATGACAGCAGGAAACAGGCTTCATCGTTACATATTCTGCCTGATTAGCAAAGAACGTAGTGAACAGATAATGGTAATTGTGTTAGTGAATTAGTGAATTACATCTTGGGTGGTTAGTGGTGGCCACAACCCTTCCCCCTTCCCCATTATTTGCATACAAAGTAAAGAAGCAGTGACAGATTTCTCCAGTTCATTTAATTACTTATTCATTTGTTAACTAACCCATGAGTGTTATTTAACGTGAACTGGGCGCGCTGTATTTACTGCAAGTAAATACATAAGATGCGTATTCCTGCCCCCGAGAAATTCCTTTTTGAGATTACGACAAATGGGAATTTCTGTGGCAGAATTTACAACAGATATGAAGTATTGGTTTTGCAGGGAAGATTACGCCGGATATCGAAACTAGCGAACCAATGTGGAACGACAGACAACTACGAGGAGTAACAAAATGTACACTGTTTAGTTGGTTTCATTTTATGAAGCATTTCTTAATTATTTAGATAGAAAATATTTAGATAGGTGCATTTCTATTTAGAAATAGAAATGGGACAATAGGTGCCAATTAAGGAAAACTATGCGGTTATAGTAGAACATTTGGCTTTTCCTCAAGACTCTAGTTGTTTCTCAAAAAAAAAATCAGTACATTTGATAGCTTAGTTAAATACTGATTTTTTTTTTCTATGTTCTTTACACTAAACTCGAGTTGGCCATCTTTCTGATAATTTCTGTTGGTAATCTTCAGGCAAAGATTCCCATGCCATGCCTATTTGTGCCACCTATCAAGTCTGCTTCTGTGACAGTGCTCCATGCTCCACAAACTCCCTCACAACGTCCTGGGTGGTCGAAAGTGGGAGAACACAAATACATGCCAACTGCTAGGCTGCAAACAATAGAGGAAATGTAGACCATCGTCCCGGACCTGTTGGAAGCATTTGTTCCAGTCAAGATTTTGCATTTGTTCAGTCATCAAATAATAGATGATTGACACCTCAACACAATGTGCTTTAACTTTTTGGGATAAGTCCGAGTTTGTTCCTTGTTGTCATGGTTTTCAATGGAATTAAAAAGGATTTGGCTGCTATCGACATTGCTTCTCGTCTAATGCTGCCAAGTGCATAAAAAGTTATTACTTATATCGTTTAGAATCAAATAGGATTTTCTAAAATGTAAAATAATGTAACGTAAGGTATAATTCACTCCGAAAAGATGGATTAACACATCTATAAGAAATACATTTTTTTTCTCACTTTTACAAGTTTAGCACGTCTAGTGCAGTAATAATTTTTGGAATTGTACTTTAGGAAAATTGAAGGTAATATTAAATAAGATAGTACAAAACATTTGCTTTTATGTCTGAGTAAAATCGTTACGATTGCAGTATTTTCAATATTTCACATTGGCTGCTGGATTTCAATGCATTCTACATTTCAGCAGAACCTACACAGTTATTACAATGTTATTACATGACGGGGAATAGCTTATGTTGTTCAATAACATAAATCTTTGTGATGTTTACAGTGCTCATGTTATCATGTTGCTCACAGGGCTACATGAACGTTGAAAAGCGAGACATCACCATTTTCTGCTGATACTGAGTGATGTGATCGTGTTATTCCATCTCAACTATAGACCGTCTGATGTATCCGCCTTTGGTACCTTTTACAATACCACAGAACGGTTAACCCATAGCTTTAAATGAAAAGTCTTCACAGATTGCCTCTATATTCCAGTCGTCAAATACACTGTGGCGTAGGTTTACCTATCACAGTGCAATGGAATTGCAGTTTTTTAAAAAAAATCCTTCTTGGTAAAACAAATTTACAGCTTTGATGACCTCTTGTAGCCCTTTAATCTATTTAACATCTGAAGAATACAACGAAGTGCAGAAATAAGCAAACAGATACACTTACAAGCTTAAGGACTCTTCACCATCAAATGTTTGCTTTCGCTTCTAAAACATCTAGTGGCTGCATGAATATTTGCCGCCGCCAAGGTATCGATAGCAAAAAAAACCTTATAAAATATTGCTTTTACATGCTATGTGTTCGCAAACTTACAGAAAACTGTCCAAATGAATAGCTGGTTTTAAGAATCAAGAATTATATTCTAAGAATATGATTAAGTATTAAAGATTCAATTCTAGTCATTCTCATACTTAGTTTCTTAGATTCCCTTGAAAGGTTAAGGACATCAGATTCCATTCATGTATCCAGAAAAATAACTAATTGGACTTTGAGTCAGATGTAATATGTCGCAAAATTTATATTTTTGCTTAATGGTAAACGTACTGGATTATATTTCCAAGAACTTCATGGAACTGGATGTTTGCAATGTTCAAAACAGATAACAGGTTACTAGAGTTCCACGCGATTCTGAAGATCTAATTAGTTGTGATTAAGGGGCTCATAGTATAACACTTAATCTGGGAGCAAACAGTATGGGGGTGTACATTTGTTGGAAAATCGAGTATTAATTCAATTTGAGCTAGTGAATAAGGACGCTTAATGAAAATTCAAGTAATGTTCCAGTTCTGCGGCAGCAAGCAGAGCTGTATGTTCAGGAAAAAGTGCGGTAGGATGCCCCAAGTATACAATCCGTGTTTGCAGCGTTGCCAGTTTTGCGTGGAGTGCCTTCGGCTGGCGGCGGCATAATTGGTTCCGACGAAGCAATGCCTCGTTTATTGGCTCTCATTCCAATTCTCACGCTGGACCAGCTCTCTCTCTACAATCGTTTGTAACAAAATTAGACTACTATTCAGCGTCTATATTGTGATTAAATTTATAGGGCAGCTGAACTTAGTACCACAAGAAGAATAAACTCTTGTACTAGAGATTTTAGGTCGTAATGGTAGTGGCTTGTGGTTGAGTCAAAAAGTTCGAGATTTAAAAACCAATCTAGAGACTTAAACGGAGAATCTAAAATCTTAGTCCTTTTCTTGAGAGGCGTTGCTTATTGGCGGTGCTGTTAAGAGAAACACCACTTGCCGTCTCACGTAAATGAAAAGAAAATCCCCGGCTACATTTGAAAAACAGAGGCGCTCTCTGAACCAATGTTTGTCCCTCAACGAACATCACATGCACAAAAATGATCTGTCGCTTACTTGCTTTTCGATTTCAGAGATCCATGAGTACAAATTAGCTGCCACGGTGCAGTCCAACAGTAACTGCACTTCAATAGTTATGCCCGTCAGCTGTGAAGCGTTTGGGACTTTTTATTTATTCATTTACAGGATGAAGTCCAGCATTTATTGCCCTTCCCTAGCTAGAGTCAGGATGGCAGTTTCCTTTCCCTGGAGGAATCCCAAGCTGGTGGGGATTTGCACCTGAGTACCCAGAACATTAGAGATAGTAGGAACTGCAGATGCTGGAGAATCCATTACTTGGGTTCCTGGAATAACAGTCCAGCAACAATACCATTACGCCATGACCTCCCCCTAAGTTAGGGAGCCATAAAAGGCAAACTTTCTGTAAAACGGATGTAAGATTAAATTCTGCTATTTAATTTAGTCTACAGTACAACTTTTGTTCATTTTTAAAATATATATTTAACCTGATACTATTACCACTGAGAATAGCAACAAATATTGTCAAACCAGTTCAGTCTAAAAGTGGTTAGGTCCTGTAGCAAAAAGATCAAAAGTAACCGAAACACCAATTTAAATTTTACAAGTTTAAACAGCAACATTTATTGTACACTTATGTAAATATGGTGTTGGTCTCCATATTGCCCCTATAACACAAGCCCTATATAACAGCAATGACCCGCAGAGGGGGGCTGGCAAATGAAATTAAAAAATTCAAATTAAAACAGTGAGGTGTTTATTGATATATGTAACTCGTGTTTGGTGCTGAAAGAAGCAAAAGTGAGCCATGGATTTGTTCTGTAAAAAGAGGGACATTCAGAAGTAGCTGTCAGTAATGAAGAGAATTAAACAGCTCTTGCCCTGATTGAGGGAGATGAATTGTTCAAAACAATAAGAGCTTGCGGCTGTTCCAAGAGAATAACAACTTTTCTGTAGAGAAAATGTAGAAGCTTTTATGCTTTGCTGCTCATTTCTATGTAAAAAAAAGTCATGAATTACCAGCAACAGGTGTGGTTACTATTGGGAAAATTCTCTTTTAAGATGAAATAGTCTGGGACCAGGTAAAATTCCTATTGATGACTGTATTGGCGCTGCCTCGTGCTCCCACGAGGAGCTCAAACAGTTCATCCACTCCACCAACACCTTCCACCCCAACCTTAGGTTTACCTGGACCATCTCTAATACCTCTCTCTCCTTCCTGGACGTCTCTGTCTCCATCTCGGGCAACCACCTAGAAATCGATATCCATTTCAAGCCCACCAACTCCCACAGCTACCTAGAATACACCTCCTCCCACCACCTTCCTGCAAAAATGCCATCACCTATTCCCAATTCCTTCGCCTCCGCCGCATCTGCTCCCAGGATGAGGCATTCCACTCCCGTACATCTCAGTTGTCCTCGTTTTTCAAGGACCGTAACATCCCCCCCTCAGTGCTCGAGAACGCCCTCAACCGTGTCTCCCGCATTTCCCGCAACTCATCCCTCACACCCTGTCCACGCAATAAGAACCAAAAAAGAATCCCCCTCATCCTCACGTACCACCCCACCAACCTCCAGATCCAACGCATCATCCTCCGACACTTCCGCCATCTGCAATCTGACCCCACCACCAAAGACATCTTTTCC